TTTTTTAACTTTAACATTTTGTAGTCTTTGCAATTTTATATCAGCTTTTCTCTTTTCTTCTTCTTCTTTTTGTTTACTTTTTAATGTGTGCCATGCTCTCCACTCGTTACCCGTTGCAACAGAAGGCAGCTTCTTTTTATTATTTTTCTTTTTCTTAATTTTTTCGATTTCCGGCCAATAAAGATATTCTTGAAATGCAGATTGTACAGAATTATTGAAATTAGAATCTTCACAACCTTTGCGTGCATCTGCGTTTTGGTTGTCATTATTTAGAATAAATTCAGGAGGAGTAACTATCGAATTTAATTGAGAACTTTCCGTATAACCTGCAAAATTAAATTATACAATTAATTTATATTTAATTTGGTAATTATTTATATTTCATTTAGTAATTGTAAGTATATGAGAGAAAATTAATACTACTTTTTTATCTTTAGAATCAGATAAAAAAAATCACTTAATGCCATTGTTAGATGTGAACTGTNACCATCTACGTATAGCACCACAGGAAATTCAATTCCATTTTGCAAACACCATTGATAAAAAATATTTGCAATATACATATAAAATGTCTCACTTGTCATCCAACCTGTCTCACTTTTTCCAATAACAAATTCATCTGGAAAGTATTTTGCAACCAAGGGTGGAATTCTTTTAGTATCATAAATAATCATACTTGGAAGTAACTGTCCAGCTGCATTCCCAGCTATAAGACTTGTATAACATTCTTTATCATTACCGCAAACATTATAAACTGCTTTTTCACCTTTACGTACTAAAACTTTGCTACTTTTAGGACTCAAAAAAAATGCAGATTCGTCTAAATTAAAAATTCTATTTGAGTCTATATCAAGAAGATTCTTAGAATTAAGAAAAGTTTTTACTTCTGAAAACCATTCTTTTAAAGCTTCCTCTGTTACATTAGCTCTTCTTTTCGTTAAATTTTGACACATTTTTTCACTTAATTCTGGATTTCTTCTTAAAAAAGCTTTATACCAGTGCTTTCCTGGTCTTCCGTTTGTGAAAGGTGTGCTTCTTTTTCTTTTTTTAATTATATTTTGTACACTGTCTAATAAGTGTTCCTTAATAATAGGAAATCCACATTTACTTGCATGAAAAATCCATTTAACTAGTTCTTTTTCTTCATTTTTGTTTAAAATGCTTTCTGGCCCTCGTTTGACGTCTATAGCATATGTTNCTTTTATTCGTGAATGAAGTGTGGCATACGGTATTTTAAATTCCTTGCTTGCAGAACGCACAGATTTTCCATTGTTTACTGCTTCTACTGNTTTTTTAATCTCAGACACACTATAAGATTTGTGTGTGTCTTTTGCAGTTCGTTTGTTCTAAACGTGAAAACGAAATAAAAGTTGTGATCGAGAATAGGGTTAAGTGTGAAAAACGGACGGTATTGTCGATCACCTAATAAATAATATTAAAAGAATATAAAACTTAACCTACCTTTTTCTGACTACTCATGCTGGGAATATTTAACTTTTATAAACGTTTTAGTACTTGCAAAAAGCTTCTTTCTTCACTTTTTAAAGATTTTTGTTGAGCTGATCCGTTAACATGAAGCGTAACGAGAAGATAAAAAACATAGAGAATCTCAAGCTGACACTTAATATAATTTATTTTATAGAGATGGCGCTACTTATGCTTTTCATACTGATTCAAATAATAAGTTTAGAAAGTGTAGTATATTATTCAATTTTTTTTTTTTACAAAAATATATAAATAAACTTTTTAAAATCTTACTTATTTATAAAAGTGATCAACTACTGGGTACTGATCGACTACTGGGTTAACTACCTTATATCCATAATAACATTGGACAAACTCAATTCTTGGCTTTTATAAATAGTGATTCGATAACTCAAAGAAAAAATAAATAAATTGTTTGATAATAACATAAGCTTTTTACCATCACCTGAAACTTGACACACTTACTTTCTCAATTGAAAATTCTAAACCTGAAGACAAGCGAAGTTTTATCTGTTCTAAATACTTACTACTTGAAATATTTTCGAAAACGGAAACCACTGTATCTATTGTACCGTTTACAAGGTAGCATCAATAGTACATCTTATCATACAACTTTTGCTCCGATTTTAATAATAATTTTTCAAAAGTTCCACTGTTCCATTTTTAGAAGTAACATCCTCAATATCCGACAATACTTTTAAAACTTTTTTTTTACATTCTATCGTATTTTCCGTAATTAACATAGTATTTGTAATGATTGATAAAATATCTATGTTGCCGTCCGTTAAGACATTATCTATTTTATAGTATTCGATATTCTTATTGTTCGGTTTACTCTTTGTAATGTCATACCACTGCAAACTAATGTCGTACCACTACATAAAGAAACACGCTTTCTAATTCTTTCAGTTTATCTGGATGACAATTGTCTATCAAAAACGGGTAAAATATGTCCGTAAATTCATTATCAAGTTCTTCAATATCTTTATTATATATATTATATTTTTATATTATGTTAAATATACTTTTTTATAAGTTACTAAATATATTTTTTATAACTTTTTATAAGTTTGAATTGTTTGTTCTTCAAAGAAAAAAGATTTACATTGTTATTGTATTTATTTAATTCATTATCATAGATTGTGTCTAAGGGAGTATCCTCGTTTTGTATCTTGTCAACGCTAAACAATTTATATCTTAGACAGTTCTATTGTTAGAGAAATATAATGGAATTAAAACAATTAGATTTTTTATAAAAACAATTACTTTTTTTTATACTTCTATAACAACAGAACTGTTTAAGATATTATATACTTTCACTTATATACTGTTGCGTTGAAATATTTTATATACAATTAAAAGACAAAAATGATACATGCATTTCTATTTAATTTATTTCACTGAAAATATTTATTTCTTATTTTACTTTCTTTTGAATATTTGTTATAATTTAAAATTATTACGTCAGTGATATTTAACTTAAGGACGGTCTCCGAATTATTGATTTTCTTAAGATTTTCTTTAAATTTGCAATATACATAGTTTATGATCTTATTTATACGTAGCCTTTTTGGATAATAGGGGTAGCAATGTTAAATTCCAAAATATGGAAGATTTATATTTCAATTTTTAACATGGATTTCCTATGCTGATTGGATTTCCTTGCTATCATTTACTGATTCCATTATGTACCACTGAAGAAGACTCAATCGTGAGTCAAAACGTTTGGTTATGAAAATAAAGTATATTATCAACTGATTGGCAAAATACATCCGCTGATTACCTCGTATCGGCTCTTATATCTCTTTTTTTCTTATTTATGGATTTCCTATACTGAGCCTTTGTGAAGTGGGGTTTTTTAAAATTACTGACGACAATTTTCTTAGGATTTTTTTAAAAAACAAGTATGCGATAGTGGAGAGTGTCCTAATTAAAATACAATTTTGAATAATATGGCAAGCAACCCTTTTTTTCAAACTGTAGCTTTTTTTTGGTTTTTTTTTGTTTTGCTGGATTTATGTGCGCTGTGTACTGTAGCTATTTTTTAACTTCTGCGCAGAGTAAGCGGGTCTTAGCAGTGCTGAATACCACAACTTAACTTTGTTACAGCAGTACAAACTTACTCATGAGAAGAGATATTTTAGGTTGCTAACCATTGTATTTAGGTTGCTAACTACTGTAGTCGGAGAACGTCCTTAAGAGGGTACTGGAGCCCGGCCTGTATACTGGATAGAGACCTGTAAACCGACGTTTTAAAAACCTAAATTTTTCTAATTTTTAAGTTTCTTTACTGCATTACATAAAAAGTGCTTCTATAGAAGCAAATACATATAAACAACTATTTAGTGCTTTTGAAAATAGATATATAATGCCTTTCGAAACTCTTTTTTTCATTCATAATGATAGCATATGATAACCTATACTGTCATCACACTAAGACGTTGTTCTCATCAATTAGATAGTCATACCATAATCTGAATGTCTCATTAGATTCGTTTTTGTCGTATCTGCGGCGCTTGTTCATTGTAAATATGTACATAAGCTTAGAAATAATTCTACATACATGAACATATAATGAGGTTATAGAAGGAAACTGTATAAGAAAAAATTTTTGCTAAATTTTGACATTCCAAAGAACAAGCGCCAATCCTTAGCACTATTTATTTATTTCTGTAAAAGCATTTTAGATTTGATGCAGTAAATACGACTCTAAAGAACTTAGGAGAAACGTCGGTTTACAGGTCTCTATAGTTGGTATCCAGTATCCTCTTAATTGCTTGTGTCTTAATTGTTCTTTTTGTATATATATTTTATATATTTTTTTTCTTGTTTACTATAATAAATACATACTGATAACAATAATAAATAATAGATACTTTATAAATGTTTTTAACTTTTATTTGTGTCAGTGTATTGTGTCAGCCAAAACACGGAAGTAGTGTTGAAAAATCGAGCCGGCCAGCACCGTGTGCGCTCGGCTACGGAAGACTTCAAACATATCCTACTATGTTCTGTCTTCTTTCTACCAAACCGGCTATACACCTAACCTAACCTAACCTAACTTACATAACCGCAGCGTGAAGATTGCAAATTTTTTTTTTACTCAAGTTACATTATGTAAAAAATTCTCAATCAGCTCTACTTACGTGTAAATGAAGCACAGAGTACCTCGCACAGCGCGCACACTTTGCGCGTATACTTAGCGCGAGATACTACCGTGCCTCTCGATAAGTCTATGGGTAACGGTAGTGCCTCGTGCCAAGTGTACGCACAAAGATATCCTGTGACTTATTTACGTGAGTAGAGCCCCAAAATAAGAATTCGAGATTTTCAGATCTCAACAACGGCTAAACCAATCGAGTTTGGTCTAGACTTAATCGAAAGTTGAGATCAAGGTACAAAAAAAGTATTTCGCTGTTTTTTTCCTTCGTGTCTTCCTAACGGAGATAGGAAGACACGTTTTTCCGTTTTTCAGAATATCCGAAATCCCGAAAAACTAACAAGAGGAGGTCGCAAAGTGTAGGTCACCGATTTCAATCAGGTTTTTTTGTAGTATAGTACTGTACCAGAAGTGTACTTGAGCAAAAGGATAGGACGCACCTCTCAGCCATTTTCGAGAAAAATCAATTCAAACTATATGGATTTACTTATGTACCGTTTAGTACACAGCGCGTCACTGAATCGCGGAATAGGCACGGGGATCGGAGGGCAAGCGGGCCGTACGATTCGTACGGAGCTTGTTGGCAAGCAACCGCTCCGCTTGCTCTCCGATTCCGTGCCTATTCCGCGATTCAATGACGCGCTGTGTACGGTTTTTTAGAAGCGCAGTATAACGCAGGTGCTTAAGAGGATGCTGAACCAGCGGCTTAACAGCTGCTTTGCTGCTACGCTGTCCAGTAGGTAGTGCCCTCTATACAAGGATAGACGTATATCTCTTTTTTTGTCTTTCGTTCGGTTTGCCCGTCTGATAGTGGTGGGGATATGCACACGTACGCGACTGTCTGCTTGTGTGCGTATTCTGCCTACTATTGTATGTGCTTCATTAGAAGAACTAACTATACTCGTAAACTAGACAATAAAATCACATTCTGATTGTTCCATTATATTCTTTTATATCATCCACTTATAGCTCTGGTGTCTGCATATTTATATAATGCTTAGAAATTGTTTAAAAATAGCAACATATGATCAAGTGATACTAGGACAATGTAACTTTTAATGCTTTTTAGACCAAAAAGCATCAGACCGATAAGTGTTTCTTTACGTTCTTTACTTCTGGAAAAGCGTTTTTATTTGATACAGTAAATAATGAGATTAGTCTGATCTATTAAAATGACATATCCCGTCGGTATAATAGGACGGTTCAGCATCCTCTTAAGCGCCTGATTACTATGCTCAAGACTAGGATCCGATTCCTGTTGAGTCTTTTTTTTTTATGTAATATAACAACGTATAAACGTATTTTCATGTAAAATGAAATTAATTTTACCAGTAACTTAATTTTTGTAGTGTGTATTTTTAAAAGGCAATATTTTTCTAATTTTAATTATTACTTTGTTTTACATGTAATAGCGATAAAAATAAAAGTATGCAATAGCACAGTTATCACGTTTCCTAAACGCAGACAATGCTTATTGTTTTATGCATTTATCCAATAAAATAATATAAAATAAAATAATATAAAATAAAATAATATAAAATAAAAAATAATATATAATATATATAATATATAATGAAACAAATACGAAATAAAATAAATGAAACGTCAGTATTTGAACATAATTACAATTGAAATTCAAAATTAAAAAACATTTGAAAAAATTATTTTGCCAAAACACATTTATTTTCACTATCTACGCTTTCTGGGTTACAATTATTTGGATGATATTTATCATAAAAGCACGTGAAACACAAGTTTCGTTTACACCATGAACTTACGAATAAGTTCGGTCTTAAAGTTTCAAAAACCATAGAAAAATTGACAGCAGAATTAAAAAATGTTGTGGTTACTTGTTCCAAATCACGAAAATTAACAAACGACCTATATAATCAATTTCTGGAAAAAATCATCAGGCCATATGTTAAAGATAAAAAATTTTTGCTGATTAGATTTCTTGGGCAGGCAAAAAGATTGTAGTGTGCACGATGATGTTTTTGAAAATGAGTCTGGGGAAA